TACTGAGAAAAACTAACAAGCTCTAGTATAATCTCGTTTACCTAAATTAGTTAACCAAAACAAGCTCTTTGAATTAACCCTAACTTTTTTACTGTTCAATTAAACAAACTCTTAATTAAATCAGAAAAACAGCTTTATGGTTTGTGTAAAATTCCCAGCAATACCCAATACTTTTCACAAGCTCGGAAGCGTAAATATATGATTTTTACGGTATATATCAGAGTTAAATCCCAAACACGGAACCAATATGATATTTGTTACTTATTACCAGTTGACAAGAACAATTACGGATTCTATTAACTGATTAATTGGAATGATAAAAACCCTAGCTAGGCGATCAGACTAACAAGAATTAAAAATCAAACATTCATTAAGCTCAAAACTGAAAAATCTAGATAGAAACACAAAAAAAGAAAACCAGATCTGGAAAACTAATTATATGAAAAGTACTAGTCTATGCAGAACTGAAAACTAGGGTTTTAGCTAGATATGACTAAAAACGAATCTAAACTAGTAAAAAGAAACATTAATCGAATAATCTTCTAAACTAAGTGAATGGGATGATTCACAACCTTCAGATCTCCATAAGTCGCTGAAAGGAATCAGAAATCGCATTCAGAAGTGTTTTTCGTCGCCTGGAATTGTCTAACCCTTGAATCTGATTATGAGGGTCGTATTTATACTCAAGACGGAAGCTTCTAGAGAAAGAAATCGAAAAATGCGATCGCAGAAAAGGGAATTGTGATTGCAGAAATCAAGATAAATTCCAGAAATGCCCTTAAATGAAGTATGATGTTATTTTTGAAGTTTCTGGGGATTTGGGAGAAAAATGTGATAGGAAATATGGGTTATGCGATCGTAGATTTTCAAATTTCTTCTCAGATGGCTTCCAGATGACTTATTTCGGCACTGGGAAACTTGGTGACATTTATACTTACTTGCTTCATTCTAGGGCTTGGACCTTGGAGTGAATGATGGAGTCGATTTTGTAATCAAGAAACGCAGCCTTGCCCTTTAACTTTTGTTAATTGTCGAAGGGGACAGGGAGGGAAGAAACACGAAGGAACAGAAAAAAGGGAAGAAACACGAAGGAACAGACAAAAGGGAAGAAACAGTGAGGTCGTGACTAGTGAGGAGGTTGCCTCGTGACATAGCCTAACGGTCAATGCTTTTTTGCATCAGGCAGATTCTAGTCAATAAAACATATATTATAAGGGGGGGGGGGGTTAAATTAAACTAAAAACTAAAAATTACAGTGAAATTAAACTAAACGAAAATCAATAATAAAAACGATTTCATGGTTTGTGTAAAATTCCCAGCAATACCCAATACTTTTCACAAGCGAAGCGTAAATATATGATTTTTACGGTATATATCAGAGTTAATCCCAAACACGGAACCAATATGATTTTGTTACTTATTACCAGTTGACAAGAACAATTACGGATTCTATTAACTGATTAATTGGAATGATAAAAACCCTAGCTAGGCGATCAGACTAACAAGAATTAAAAATCAAACATTCATTAAGCTCAAAACTGAAAAATCTAGATAGAAACACAAAAAAAGAAAACCAGATCTGGAAAACTAATTATATGAAAAGTACTAGTCTATGCAGAACTGAAAACTAGGTTTTAGCTAGATATGACTAAAAACGAATCTAAACTAGTAAAAAGAAACATTAATCGAATAATCTTCTAAACTAAGTGAATGGGATGATTCACAACCTTCAGATCTCCATAAGTCGCTGAAAGGAATCAGAAATCGCATTCAGAAGTGTTTTTCGTCGCCTGGAATTGTCTAACCCTTGAATCTGATTATGAGGGTCGTATTTATACTCAAGACGGAAGCTTCTAGAGAAAGAAATCGAAAAATGCGATCGCAGAAAAGGGAATTGTGATTGCAGAAATCAAGATAAATTCCAGAAATGCCCTTAAATGAAGTATGATGTTATTTTTGAAGTTTCTGGGGATTTGGAGAAAAATGTGATAGGAAAATGGTTTATGCAATCGTAGATTTTCAAATTTCTTCTCAGATGGCTTCCAGATGATTTATTTCGGCACTGGGAAACTTGGTGACATTTATACTTACTTGCTTCATTCTAGGGCTTGGACCTTGGAGTGAATGATGGAGTCGATTTGTAATCAAGAAACGCAGCCTTGCCCTTTAACTTTTGTTAATTGTCGAAGGGGACAGGGAGGGAAGAAACACGAAGGAACAGACAAAAGGGAAGAAACAGTGAGGTCGTGACTAGTGAGGAGGTTGCCTCGTGACATAGCCTAACGGTCAATGCTTTTTTGCATCAGGCAGATTCTAGTCAATAAAACATATATTATAAAGGGGGGGGGGGGTTAAATTAAACTAAAAACTAAAAATTACAGTGAAATTAAACTAAACGAAAATCAATAATAAAAACGATTTCAGTGTTGCAGCGACTTTCCTAATCATGCATATGGTTATTCAGAATGCGTTTTATCTTAGCCGGTACTGAGAAAAACTAACAAGCTCTAGTATAATCTCGTTTACCTAAATTAGTTAACCAAAACAAGCTCTTTGAATTAACCCTAACTTTTTTACTGTTCAATTAAACAAACTCTTAATTAAATCAGAAAAACAGCTTTATGGTTTGTGTAAAATTCCCAGCAATACCCAATACTTTTCACAAGCTCGGAAGCGTAAATATATGATTTTTACGGTATATATCAGAGTTAAATCCCAAACACGGAACCAATATGATATTTGTTACTTATTACCAGTTGACAAGAACAATTACGGATTCTATTAACTGATTAATTGGAATGATAAAAACCCTAGCTAGGCGATCAGACTAACAAGAATTAAAAATCAAACATTCATTAAGCTCAAAACTGAAAAATCTAGATAGAAACACAAAAAAAGAAAACCAGATCTGGAAAACTAATTATATGAAAAGTACTAGTCTATGCAGAACTGAAAACTAAGGTTTTAGCTAGATATGACTAAAAACGAATCTAAACTAGTAAAAAGAAACATTAATCGAATAATCTTCTAAACTAAGTGAATGGGATGATTCACAACCTTCAGATCTCCATAAGTCGCTGAAAGGAATCAGAAATCGCATTCAGAAGTGTTTTTCGTCGCCTGGAATTGTCTAACCCTTGAATCTGATTATGAGGGTCGTTTATACTCAAGACAGAAGCTTCTAGAGAAAGAAATCGAAAAATGCGATCGCAGGAAAAGGGAATTGTGATTGCAGAAATCAAGATAAATTCCAGAAATGCCCTTAAATGAAGTATGATGTTATTTTTGAAGTTTCTGGGGATTTAGGAGAAAAATGTGATAGGAAATATGGTTTATGCAATCGTAGATTTTCAAATTTCTTCTCAGATGGCTTCCAGATGATTTATTTCGGCACTGGGAAACTTGGTGACATTTATACTTACTTGCTTCATTCTAGGGCTTGGACCTTGGAGTGAATGATGGAGTCGATTTTGTAATCAAGAAACGCAGCCTTGCCCTTTAACTTTTGTTAATTGTCGAAGGGGACAGGGAGGGAAGAAACACGAAGGAACAGACAAAAGGGAAGAAACACGAAGGAACAGACAAAAGGGAAGAAACAGTGAGGTCGTGACTAGTGAGGAGGTTGCTCGTGATTTTTTTCTTTCTTCTAATTGCCGGCCAATCACTTTCAAACCATTGACGATTGGGCTATTTTGTTTGATTCATTTTTTATTTGGGGTTTTGGGCTACAAATACAATTAATAGTGGATTAAAACACTAAGCTTCTAATTGGCTAATTATAAGTTGTAAACTTCTAATTATATTTTTGGGTTTGGTAATTCTTGATAGAGTGACATATTTATTTTACGTAGTTGCACAAATTTTTTTTATGTGGATGTACAATTTTTTTACGTAGCGGCACAGCAGGTAAAAATTAAAAAAATCGAATTTTTTTCCACTACGTACGGGGAAAATAGGTGTTGTCGGTGTTATGCCAAGACACCTCACTGAAACCGCCCCTGCCTGGAAGTCTCCTAATTTGGGTTTAAATATACCATGATTAACCTTTTGGTGTAGGTGATTAAGAGGAAATAGAGGATGATTACGGATTAATCAAAAAGGAATAATGTCTAGGAATTTAATGACAAATGGAAGATATGGTGTATGAAGAGTAGACGTAATGTGAATTATTTACAAGTTTACCCTTGGTAAGTAATTATACATGTATTAGAATATAAGAATCAAATCTTAAAACTTAAACTCCGATAGATATTTGGATTTAGATAATAATTTGATTCGAATTGTATTCTGAATCCAAATCAATATCTAGACCACATCATCATAATCTTCTTTATTTCCTTCAATGTGAAATAGAAATTTAAATTTAACTAACACGTTTTTACTTTATGCTTTTTTTCACCGCCTTTCTTTCTTCTTTATCCTTCGTCAACGTTTTCCAAACCCTGCTGTCAAACTTCCTTTCCTTCGCACAGGTAAGTAAGCACCAAGTACTGTCTAATATTTGTATTCATACAAATTTATTTGTAAAACACTATAAAATTAAAATTGTAAGAAAAAATAAAAAATTTGGATACATGTCACACCGATTGGCAAACACAAAGGACCGCTCATAACTAATCTAATGAGAAAGAATAACAAACTAATTACAAAGAGGAATCCCTATTTTGGAGGGAAAAAGATAAGTTGAAGTTTGCAATGAAATATAGGCATTTGGGTTTTGATGTAAAGAATGGAAGGTAATGTTTGTGTTTTAGGTTTTGATATAAAACTATGTTTCTTGTGTTATTTATGTAAACTGTATCATGCAAAAAACTGTAAAATGTAAAAGAACCAAAAAGATTGTGTTGTATGTGATATGAGTAAAATTGATTGGATATCGACAAAATGTGATCATATTTGTATCTACATTTTCTTGTTTAATGTGGATAGGAAGATAGTTTTCTTTATTGCAACTTTATTTTTACGAAACAATGCAACAATCCTAGATACATTTTATTCACTACAAAATAGAACAGAATGGTAAAATGATTATTTTCAACATTTAATACTGTCAGTCAGATACATAATCAAACAATACAGTTTTAATCAGAGACAAATACAATCAGAACTTTAGACCCAATCTGACTAGATCAGATCAGACTCGGTCAACAACCATCAAACAATCCCTTAAGATACTTATCACATTAAACAGCCCCTTAAGATACTTGTAACATTGATTAAAGATACCTTCTACAACATGCAATTAATCATGTTCATTTCATTTTCATACTATTTCAATTTTCATCGGCCATATTAAGATATAACAACAGAATAAATCACCATATCAATTGTCCCTGTACACAAGACTTCACCAAGTAACTAGAAACAGAATTCGATGGCTTATTCAAATAACCATTCTCTTTTATTGTCTACCGTATTACCCTTTGTATACAAAAAATATACTCCAAAATTTTTGCATAATTGACAACAATCCTTCTCCGGAATTAAACTTTCCATAGATCTATCGATCCCAACCGTCCTTCCTCCTCCGGAATCCAACTTTCCATTCCGTTATCCCCCCATACAACTCCGTAAACTTCTCCAAACACCTACTCCTCACCCGATAATGTGCTTGTGTATTCCCACTAATCGCAACCCCGGAAAACTTGGATGTATCAATCGCCCAAGCCGGTTTTATATATTCCACCGAATGCCCCCCAGGGGTAGAATTGGAATATAAAAAATTCATCAAAACATCCTCACAATTAAAAACCTCATCCACCATTTTCCTTCCCAATTCCGCTTCCTCACTCCAATACCTCTCAAACGCAAATTCCCGGTCAACAAACGCCGCCCCGGTCAAAACCATGTTATAACCGTCATGTTTCCGGGCATGTTTCTCGGGTCGGTACTTTAACGGTGGCGGCGCGGTGACTAACCGCGGGTAAAACCCGACTAACCGGGTCGGGTTTTCCCGCCAGACTTTAAACCCGCGTTCAAGATCATCACAATTCATCATGATGTCATCGTCTAGTTCGAGAACCGCTTTGGTTTTGATAAACGGGTCGACCCGGAACCGGTTGTTCAACGAGTTTTTCTCCTCGACCCGGATCCGAACCGGAACCGCGGATTCCAATTCCGATGGGTTTGGCGGTTTCCCTTTGTTCCAAACCACCAAGATTTCGCGAACCGAGGCGCATTTGGAATAATGATTTACGTACATTTTCAAATTCCACATTCGGGCATCATATGTCATTGCTAATAAAGTGAATTGTGAAAAATGGTTGTTAACCGGATATGGTTTTTCCCACCCGTTTCCCCCATACATGTACCCGAATCCAACACATGCTATCACGATTGATAGTATTAAAAGAACCGTTAAAATAAACTTACCCATGTAAGTATTAGGGTTGATTGTTTGATTCAACCGGAGTCTCAATTTCAATCTCTCCCAATTTAAAATGGAATCATTTCTTTTCTTGATATGTGTGAGTGGAATAAAGCACTTGATAAACCCTAGCAACCAACATGTTAAAAGAACGATTGAACCGGAGGTGATAATCAAACCACACCCAACCACGTGTCTACTTGTCACATCCCCAAAGTGGGTCCGGTCCCCGTCTGCAACCGCGACCCATTCGCCGGTTCTCAACCGTTGAACATCCAAGTGGTGAGATCGGGCCCCATTCCATGCGTTTATACCTTTTGTTGACTTTTCAACCTTGAAGTTGACTTCCGATTCTATGTAATGGTGAGTTGTAAGATGTTCGATCTTGAACACACGGATGTTTTCACTGTGACCTAATCGGTAAAGATTCCGGTTGTAAACGAAGGGTCGACCTCCGTTTCGTGGTCCTGTAAACGGGTTTTTCATGTGTGGGGTCCACGGCCCAAACGGGGTTTTACTATACCAGATTTCAAGGTCACCGAAAGTCAACCGGGTTTGGTAAGAACCGAAAATCCAATACATATTTTCGTGGTATATGATGACGGAATTTACCAAAGGGTGTTCTAAAATGATCTTTTCAAGTTTCCATTTGAAAGGAAACTCGATTGCTTTGTAAAGACGAATGTCACGGGTTCCACTTCCTTGAGGCATCATGTATATCTATTAGAGAATGTAAAAGAAGATGAAATATGAATGATGAAATGGAAAATTGGAAATAAAGAAATTGGGGGTTTAAAAGTAGAGAGTTTTACTTGATGATTGTAGTTGAATACATATGGATGTGAAAGATGCCAATCTTCATCCAAAACTACTCCTAGTTGTTCCCAATTTACTCCATTATCATTGCTTCTTGCAACCCCAATATCTCCTTGCATTGTTATCACATTCTTGGTTTCAAAGAACATGTAAAGAAAATCATCCTGAGTCATAATAAGTGTTGTTAGGATAAATGATGCTTAAAAATATGGGAAATGGAAGGAAAGATCAAATAAGGGCAAGTTTATAAAAACTAAGGGCTTTAAAGACAACAGACTCATTTTTCTGTCTTTTTTTTATTTAATCGTTCTTTAGAAAAACGTCTTAGTTAAATAAATGAGGGCGTCTTAGTTAAATAAATAAGGGCAAATTTGTAAGAAGTCAACACTTAATAGGAAAAGACTAATAAACCCTTATAAAAAGGGTACTTTTAAGCGATTATAACTCTCATTATTTCCTAAAAAAACGGAGCAAACTATATATAGACAATAAGGGAGTAAACAACTAACTCAAATAAGCTCCTAGACATGATAATTTGAGGTCACGATAGGAGCCCACTACCTCTTTTCCTTTTCAAAAAGAGCAATATTATACCACGTAATATAACAAACCATTAAAGAAAGTGAATCTTTAACCAGCTCTGGATCCAAGATTCTTGATTAGGGTATACAACAGATCTTCTACATCTTGAAGTGATATTAAAAACAATTAAAGAAAGTGCATCTTTAAAAACTTTAGCCATCAAATTTCATAAAAGTGACATATGCTTTAAGAAAGATTGGTGGAAGCCTAATCCTTGGTTAAAAAACAGAATATATGATCAAAATTCATTTCATGTGATCATGAAATTGGAAAAGGAAAATACAATAAAGAAATTACCTTAGCATAAAGAAAAGGGTCAGCAACATAATTACTTGGGAACCCAGAATTAGTAACAGAATCACAAGTCAAAATTGGGTTTGCTACAGGCCATGCTGCACTTTTGTTGTCCCAAATATTCATCTGCAATCCATTCAAACAAAGATGAAAGACCCACTTCATATATCAAAACCCCACAAAAAAAAACTCTTATCTTTTTCTTAATCTAATTAAAGAATTCAAATTGAGAATCTTAGAACAGTAATACCCACTTGAGATAATCACAAAAGCCAGCAAAAAAAAGACAACTTCTTTGATTAGTTTGACTCCCAAATCAGATATATAATAATACATACATCCATCATATATCTATAACCCACAAAAAGCCTAACGTTTTTCAAAATAATCAAAGAAATTATATAAAAAGGTCATAGAAGAGTAACACTCGCATCATAATAGCATATACCAAAAAAAGTCAAGCGAAGAACACAATTTCTTTAATTATTTTGATTCCCCAATTAAAAAGTTCATAATAGTCCCACACCATAGTCCATTCATATATAAGACCTTAGAAAAAGGGTTCTGACCTTTTAGAATAATGTAATGATTTCAGATAATAAACCATAACAAAGTTTGATTCCGAAAAAAATAAACAAAATCATCAATTTTTGGGAGCAATGTAAATCCCTAAATAAGGAAGATGCATAAGAAGGTAGACGATTGAGTTGAGAACTTACATCTTCGATGGGTTTAAGAGAAAAAGGGGAATCACCATAGAAAGCTCCGATTGCCCATGAACCATCGTTATCCTCTTGACAACCGAGTGAATTATTATAATTCAAATTAGGGTTGTTGAACAAATAAAAGATGTAGAAAACCCCAACCGAACTACACAACAGAAACGAAACAAACAGGTAGTGCACAGTCGGTGAATGACCACCGCCATTGTCGTGCACACGCCACCGGGACCCGTGGGTTTTATCCGACGTTCCGCCGGTAATGCCCACAAACGGACTCGAACCCATGTCGCCGGGAACAGTAAACTGCAACGGCGGTGATTTAAATCGATCAACAATCCGTCGATAAACAGATCATCTCATACACAAATCTCCAGATTATTGAATATCAAAAGGGTTTTCAAATTACACAAAGCATTCGCTCCAAATATCGATATGCGATGGAGATTATATCAAGAATTCTGAGTGGGTGGTGCTTGTTTCTCTATCTAAAATTCCCAAAATGGTGGTGAAAGAAAAGGTGGCAGACACCTATGCGGTGGTGTGTGTTGGGATAGCGTGACGTGCGTGATTATATATATAAAGATTAAAGATAAACCGGATGATGTGTATGTGTAATTTGGGAATTGTTTATAGCTATAAATTTCATGTAGATCACCAATAAAGGTAGATATGTGTTTAATGTCGACAATCCGAAACAAGAATGATGCCTAATGATATTAAAGACTCGAGATGTGTTGTAATTTTCAATTTGCCGCTTACACTACAAAAAGTTTTCTTGACGTGTGAGTTGTAAGTTTTAACTCACGTTTTCCGTCTTTTCAATTCTTTTATTGCATTTAATACGAAGGTAAAGGAAGTAAGTTGTTTAAATCTTGTATAACGATTTCGATTCTTGTATGTGATAATTGAAAGTTGTTTGTTCTATCTTTGTCCATAATTTTTTTTAAATATAATATGATTAATGACCACCGACCACTAGTAATTTACATTATGGATAAAAATATCATATTATGAAATTTATTTGAAAACACTACATAAATAATTGAAAATTGTTATTTTTGTTTAAAAATGTTTGGACTAGCAGGTTTAAATTTTTCATTTTGTTGCTATTTGGTCTAATTTGGTGTGATTTTTTTTTAAATGATGATTTTGCCCTTTATATTTTCATGACAAAATTTCACAATTGGTCCCTGTGGTTTACAGAATATCGCACTTTGAGGATTTCCTAGCAAAAAGTCACGCGACTGGTCCCTGTGGTTTGTAAAGTTACATGAAAGGTCCTCCTGCTGTTAAATCTAAAGTTTCAGCAGTTAGATTTTAATGGAAAAAACTATTTTGCCTCTGTACCAATATTGCAATACACTACAAACCTCAAGGACCATTCGTGTAATTTTATAAATTTGAAATTTTATATATATATAAATTATAAATTTCGCATTTTTTATTTATATAAGTTATAAATATAAATTTTATATATATGTATATATATAATTTCAACAATTTGATAATTTTTTTTTTATCTTTTTGACATTTTGTTTTCTATTTTTATTTTATAGTTTTAGTTATTTATGGTTTTTTGTTATATTTTTATTTATTTTGAATCAAGTAAATAAACTTAAATTCGATAAACCATATCGAAATTATTTTTCTTTAATTTTTATTATTTGTGAATTATTTGTTTTTTTTATTTTTTTTTTTTAATTTTATGCCGTTATTGTTCTTGTTTTTTTTTGATGCTCCATAGTTAATATCGTTAGCAACTTTAAATTTGCATTTATCATTATCATTATTTGATCTTTGGTTTTCTATTTTTGTTATAATTTTAATTATTTATTATTCTTCTATTGTTTTTATTTATTTTGATTCAAGTAATGAAAAATAGAAAAACAAAAAACAAAAACTCAAACACCAAATTCTAATATACTCTAATATATTAATACATTTTACATTTTCATCTTTTTTTAGTTTTTTCGTATTTTTTTAAAATTTTTTAGTATTATTTTGTTAAATTTTTTTCATATTATTTTTAATTATTTCTTATTATTATTTTTTAATTATTTCCTATTTTTAATTTTTTCGTTGTTTCGTTTTTATTTTTCATCAACTTGATAACTTTTTTTTGACCTTTTCCAAAAAGTGTAAAATGTATGAATATATTAGAGTATATTACAATTTTGGTGTTTGAGTTTTTTTGGTTTTTTATAATTTTGGTTATTTATGGTTTTTGTAACTTTTTTATTTTGATTCGCGTAAATAAAATAGTTATATTTACAAATATAAATAAATAAAATAAACATAACTTTTTTATTTACACAAATAAAAAAAAAAGTTACGAAAACCATTAATAACCAAAATTAATAAAAAAAATGCGAAAAAAACCAAAAAATATGAAAATTGTAAAATGTATTAATATATTAGAGTATTTTACAACTTTTGGGGTTTGAGTTTTTGGCTTTTTGTTTTTCTATTTTTCATTAATTGAATCAAAATAAATAAAAACAATAGAAGAATAATAAATAACTAAATATATATAAAAAACACAAAAGATAAAATAATGATAGTGATAAATGCAAACATAAAGTTGCTAACGATATTAACTATAGAACATCAAAGTAAAATAAATAAATAAATAAATAAAATAAACTGTAACAACAAAAAATTAAAAAAAAACATTAACGTTTCATTTCATAATTAAGAAAAAAAAGGTTTTGATATGGTTTATCGAACTTAAGTTTATTTACTTGAATCAAAATAAATAAAAACATAAAAAAACCATAAATAATTAAAATTATAAAATAAAAATAGAAAATAAAATGTCAAAAAGATAAAAAAAATTATCAAGTTGTTGAAAAAAAAATATATATGTATATATATATATATATATATATATATATATATATATATATATATATATAATTTACATTTATAATTTATATATATACGAAATTTATATTTATAATTTATATATACACAAAATTTCAAATTTATAAAATTACACGAATGGTCCTTGAGGTTTGTAGTGTATTACAATACTGGTACAAAGGCAAAATAGAATTTCCATTAAAATCTAACTGTTGAAAAGTTAGATTTAATGGCAGGAGGACCTTTCATGTAATTTTACAAACCACAGGGACCAGTCGCGTGACTTTTTGCTAAGAATTCCTCAAAGTGCGATATTTTGTAAACCACAGGGACCAATTGTGAAATTTTTGTCTATTTTCATTTTCTATTTTTTTTTAAATTACAATAACTTAAAAAAGAAAAAAGAAATTCTTTACATCTCTCTCTCTCTCTCTCTCGCTCTCTCTCTCTCTCTCTCTCTCTCTACATTACATACACTTTTATAACCTAAACTTGTAAAACATTTCATCAGATCTCCGGCTCCGATGAAGGCTGCTCGTCAGACCTCCTCCTTCTTTAACTATAGTGTCGCCGCCGCCGCCTGCCATAGACCATAATCTCGTCGTTGTCATCCATCTGTAAACCCTTGTTCCAATCTCCGATCTCGTCGCCACTGTCCATATATGTAAACCTTTGTTTTTTCGGCGATCTGAACACCATTGCTACAACTCGACGAAGCTCTAATCTGCAACTCGACGAAGACGATGGTCCGATCTGAACACCACCGCCGCAACTAGTGGCGAATCTAGAAAATAAAATTAGGGTATGCAAGTATAGATTTAAGGTATGAAAACAATAAGATTTAATATATAAAACTTTATTCTCAAAAGAAAATAGAATAGGTAAGAAAATTTTAAGGGTATGCAAGTGCATATCCTTCTTCTATACTAGATACACCCTTGGCTGCAACTCGACGAAGCTCCATATCTGTAAACCCTCGCTTTTCCGGCGAGCCTCATCTCTCTCTCTGCATCTTTCTTCGCCTTCTTCATCAGCAAACCCTAGTGATTTGCCAACGATGTTCCAAAAAAGACGATGGGTGACGACAAGTTAGGGTTTTCAGAAAACCCTAACCAGTTATTCTTGTTTCAGCGCAACTATCTTCCACCGAAACCCTAGCTTCGCCATCTTCATCAACATAACCTAGCACCGGTATGTGTTGAACGACGACCCTACCTTTGTCTTTCCATTCCGACGAGAAATAAGAAAGAAAGAGGGTGACAAACAGATCCGATGGCTAATTTCTTTTTCTGTTTTTTTTGGTTGATTTGGTGTTACTGGTGGTTTGGCGGTGATTATATGTTGATGACAGTTGATGATGTTTCAATGGTGGTGTGATGATGTGATAGAGAAGATGATGGGTTCTAGGGTTGGTGGTGGCTAATGGTGTTTTTGGGTTGTGTCTGATGGTAATATAAGCTGGAATGGGTTTGATGGTGTTCACGGTGGTGGGAATGGAGATGGAGAATGGTGGTGTTGGGTGTTGGTGGATGATGAAAGGTTTAGCTGAGGTTGAAGGTTGGTGAAGGTGATGAATTGCGAGGGTAGTAAAAGGGTGTTGGGTTCAAGTTCGGGTTATGAAAGGAGTAAGGGAGAAAGGTTTATTTTTCTTTTAATCAGAAAAATATTTAAATAAATGAAAAAACTAAAAAAATAAAATATTGTGGGCAAAATATCATAATAAAAAAGTTTAAACAAAATTGGACCAAACTCGCAACAAAATGAAAAGTTTGGACGTCTCGTGCTATTCCAAACCTTTTTTGGACCAAAATGATAATTTTCAGCAACTACAAGGATCATTCAAACAATTTTTTTCAATTTATTTTATAGCTTATTACTATTTGTTTTATTTTATTTATAACTTATTATTATTGAAACTACTAAATTATTTGTGTTTTTATTAATCACTCAATATATATTAAATTGTTAATATACTTTCATGTTTAGTATATTTATCCCCTCATCTTCTAATCATATTTTTTTTACTCTTTAATTATATTTAGTTAAAAATATTTTTAGTTTATTGACTACTATTTCTATCAAATATTTAATGACAATTTATTTATGAAATATAAATTTATAATGATTATATAATATTTTCAATCTTTTTATAATTATGATGTATTAATTATTTCGTATTTTACGTTTGTAAATAAAGACCCAATATACCTTTACTTATGTTTTCGTTAGTTTGTTGCATTCAACGTTTATAAAATATAATGTGTGTTTAAAAAATAACTAATTAAATGGAAAGGGTTTTATAAAATATTTTAAATAGATAATGATAGATTAGGTAAAATTCAATAAAAAACTATTGGAAGAGATTAATCATTTGAGATGTTATTTAATTATAGTTAGTGTTAATGAAATGGTGATGCGACAATAATTTTAACTGATAGTATAGGTTAGCGATTGGAGATGTTTTAACAAACGTAAGGCAAAAAGGTATCTACATTCGAAAGTCCAATCTTGTTGCATTTTGTCTGTATTTTGTCTATTTCACAACGAAAAAACGAGTAAAGATAATGTTATTTTTTGCACTTTTGGATCATCAGTTGACAAACAAGCTCTGTAGTAAACAATATGTAAGAAAACTGGTTTTAACCAATTTCTAAAAATGTTTTTTTTCCCATTTTTAGCATCAGTTTCGAACCCTAACATTATAAAAGTGGAAAAATGATTATATGTGTGTGTTCGTTTCCATGATACCTTCGTTTCGGTATATTACACATCCAAAACAGATTAAAGATGAATGAGAAAGTAAGGTA